CCCAGTTCGAGCGAGGTCGAACTGTCAAACTTTGATGGCGAAGGCACTTAGCATGAGTCCCAGTTCGAGCGAGGACGAACTGTCAAACTTTGATGGCGAAGGCACTTAGCCTAAGTCCCAGTTCGAGCGAGGTCGAACTGTCAAACTTTGATGGCGAAGGCACTTAGCCTGAGTCCCAGTTCGAGCGAGGTCGAACTGTCAAACTTTGATGGCGAAGGCACTTAGCCTGAGTCCCAGTTCGAGCGAGGTCGAACTGTCAAACTTTGATGGCGAAGGCACTTAGCCTGAGTCCCAGTTCGAGCGAGGTCGAACTGTCAAACTTTGATGGCGAAGGCACTTAGCCTGAGTCCCAGTTCGAGCGAGGTCGAACTGTCAAACTTTGATGGCGAAGGCACTTAGCCTGAGTCCCAGTTCGAGCGAGGTCGAACTGTCAAACTTTGATGGCGAAGGCACTTAGCCTGAGTCCCAGTTCGAGCGAGGTCGAACTGTCAAACTTTGATGGCGAAGGCACTTAGCCTGAGTCCCAGTTCGAGCGAGGTCGAACTGTCAAACTTTGATGGCGAAGGCACTTAGCCTGAGTCCCAGTTCGAGCGAGGTCGAACTGTCAAACTTTGATGGCGAAGGCACTTAGCCTGAGTCCCAGTTCGAGCGAGGTCGAACTGTCAAACTTTGATGGCGAAGGCACTTAGCCTGAGTCCCAGTTCGAGCGAGGTCGAACTGTCAAACTTTGATGGCGAAGGCACTTAGCCTGAGTCCCAGTTCGAGCGAGGTCGAACTGTCAAACTTTGATGGCGAAGGCACTTAGCCTGAGTCCCAGTTCGAGCGAGGTCGAACTGTCAAACTTTGATGGCGAAGGCACTTAGCCTGAGTCCCAGTTCGAGCGAGGTCGAACTGTCAAACTTTGATGGCGAAGGCACTTAGCCTGAGTCCCAGTTCGAGCGAGGTCGAACTGTCAAACTTTGATGGCGAAGGCACTTAGCCTGAGTCCCAGTTCGAGCGAGGTCGAACTGTCAAACTTTGATGGCGAAGGCACTTAGCCTGAGTCCCAGTTCGAGCGAGGTCGAACTGTAATATAGTAATGGCGAAGGCACTTAGCCTGAGTCCCAGTTCGAGCGAGGTCGAACTGTAATATGGCAATGGCGAAGGCACTTAACCTAAGTCCCAGTTCGAGCGAGGTCGAACTGCAATATAGTAATGGCGAAGGCACTTAGCCTGAGTCCCAGTTCGAGCGAGGTCGAACTGTAATATGGCGATGGCGAAGGCACTTAGCCTTAGTCCTAGTTCGAGCGAGGTCGAACAGTAATATGGCGATGGCGAAGGCACTTAGCCTGAGTCCCAGTTCGAGCGAGGCCGAATTGTAATATGGCGATGGCGAAGGCGTTTAGCCTGAGTCCCAGTTCGAGCGAGGTCGTACTGTAATAGTAATGGCGAAGGCACTTAGCCTGAGTCCCAGTTCGAGCGAGGTCGAACTGTATTATGGCGATGGCGAAGGCACCTAGCCTGAGTCCCAGTTCGAGCGAGGCCGAACTGTAATATAGTAATGGCGAAGGCACTTAGCTTTAGTCCCAGTTCGAGCGGGGTCGAACTGTAATATGGCAATGGCGAAGGCACTTAGCCTGAGTCCCAGTTCGAGCGAGGTCGAACTGTAATATGGCGATGGCGAAGGCACTTAGCCTTAGTCCCAGTTCGAGCGAGGTCGAACTGTAATATAGTAATGGCGAAGGCACTTTGCCTGAGTCCAGTTCGAGCGAAGTCGAACTGTAATATGGCGATGGCGAAGGCACTTAGCCTGAGTCCCGGTTCGAATAAGGTCAAACCTGTCGATCTTTGATGGCGAAGACACTTGGCCTTAAAGGGTTCCCTGGGGGAGTCCAAGTTTGTTTAATTTTGCTTGTATTGGAAAATACGATGCATTTCCTGTTCGTGTATCTGGGAGAACGCCCCTGCTTCTATTCCATTTAGAGAAATAGTGAGTTAAACCAAATGAAATTGTTCGTTACCTCGATTTGATCGGTCGGCGAGTGGAGAGGAGTGGCCACGTTCACTCCTCTGGTTATGTCTTTTAGTGGCCGCTACCAGTTTGGCAAGGCCATCTACTTCAACATCCTGTGCGTCGGGAGTATTTGATCGAGCTGGCTATTTGCCGAACGTCGGGTAACGGCTTGCGAACTCCCGGCGTGGTATTCGTGCAATATTTGTT